GCGCACTTCCACGTGAAGTTATGGGTGCCGTCCAAACGGTGCAACTCTTTGTGTCCACTCGAGCACAACATATACAACGATGTCATCATCGATGAGGGGATCAGTTCGTCGCTGAGGCCGGAGATGAAGAGTGCGGGCGCCGTCACCGACGATATCTTGTTCACCGAATTGAACTGATTCTTGTAGAACCAGTTGGGAATCGCGCGGATCAGTCGACAATTGAATATCGTGCGGGCGATGTCCGGAAGACTGGTAAACGTGTTTTCGATGATAATGGCCGCTATGTTGGCGCTGTTGCGCGCGTGTCGGCCCAACTCGACGGCCACAGCGCCGCCCAACGACCGGCCGAAGACCACAATCTTGTGACTATCAATGTCTGGCCGACCGATGAGGTAATCGAGTGCCGCCGCGGCGTCCAAATAGAGACCCCTTTCGGAGGGATAACCGCCGCTCAGACCATAGCCTCTGTACTCGACTAACAGTATATTACAGCAGATCTCGTGGTATAACTCGTAACAGTTCTGGAGTCGGTGTCCAATGTTGCCGGCGTTGCCGTGAAAGTAGATGACTGTCGGACACCACTTGTACTCATTGTCGGGCCGTTTGATGAGCAGTACATTGATGTTCACCTTGTCTTCAGTGGTGATGAAGTGGGACTCAAACGACAGATTGAACGCCATTGGGCTCAAGACGTTAGTCCGGCTGTCCATCGGGTCGTTGGGGTTATAGAGAAGATAATCGCAGAAACTGTAAACAATGTATACGAAGCCGAAGAGGATTGAGATGACGGCCAACGAGAGGCCAAACACTATGTAAACGATGGTTACGGCGATCACAACACAGACCAACAGTTTCTGACATTTCCTCGACAGGTATGTCAAGACACGGATCAACCCTTTGGTCACTTCCCAGTAGAAGCCCATCAGACGTATGACACGCATGTCTTGAGTCCCGTTGGGATCAGCTTTAAGTGACAATTTGTCCACTAATTAAGTATTCAATCGATGAGTGATTGAGACGTTTGTTGAGACAATTCACTCACTTTTTCGTCGCTTTGTTTACAAAACAAACACTCGTTTTAGACATTCATTCATAAAATACAACACTTTTTGTGCA